AAAGGCCTTGACCTGGGACATTTTTTCCCAGTCTTAAAAAAATAAAACCCGAGAATTTTTTTTAAATTTTCAGAGAGATAAATATAGGTTGTTTTATTGACTTATTTTATTGATTTGATTTTAAATTCCTTTTACATTAATCTCAAAATGGAGCAAATGAATTCCAAGCAAAAAATAGAAAACTTAATTATAACAGCAGAAAATATGCAAAAACTACAGGTAGATCAATTAACTCCCATCATTTGATTATATTGTTTGTGCACATTTTCATTTCCAGAATTTTTCTCAATGCTAGTTGAGAACAGTTTTTTAATAGTACTTATCTGAATTTTGTTAGATGTTTTAATCATTGCATTTGGGTTCAGGATGTTTCAATCATTGCATATTATATTCATCAGACTAATTTTCATATTTTCTTTTACAATGTTATAGCTATTATATCTCCCACTGACCTTCAGCAATTATCTGTTATGATTTCTCAACATTCTGAAGCACAAAAGATACCTGATGAAGATCAGAAGACATACAGATGAAAAGTTTAAAAAAAAAAAAAAAAAAAAGACAAGGAGATATTTTATGCCTTTCTATTCAGAACCAGCCTGCTGATCTTGGTTGGTACACACACAACAATCTCAGAACATTGAACCAAATATTTTATTTAATCTATAAGGATAGATTGTTCTTATTCTGGTTTCTATATTTAGGGGCTATCACTAACCAACCCAGGGACTGAACTCACGATTACCAGGAAACCAGATATACTGTAACCAATGCTTTAACTTATTAGACTGTGTGTTATGTATCACAGGAATGTCATATATTCAGATTCTGTGAAAGAAACAAACAAGCGACAAGTAAATACATTAGAGAGACTTAACTGATATGAGTTATCTCCCAATATTGAGCACTCTTCCCACATAAATACAGCAAATTTAAAACAATATATGATGTTTGAAATAAATAAGGTCTCATAAGGTTAGAGACCTTATTTATTATTTATTTATAAGTTTTAGATGAAAGAGAATGGTATCAGTGAAGTAAATTTCTCCTTAGAATTACAAGTTTATTTTTCATCATAATTACCATTTTATGCTAAACGTTCTACCCACTTTTTCAATTCATTCATTAAAAAAAGTTTCTGCTTGTAATATATTTGTGGTAATCTGTTTCACATTCCTGAGAGACAGTAATACTAAGTAAAATTGTGAGTTTGGGGTCAAATATAGATCAAATATGGATCAGAAACTGATAGAATGATAAAATAAAGAATAAATGGATACAATCTTGCGCATAAGTTTTTTATAGATGTGTGTAATGAGTCTTCAGATAATTTAGTCTGAAAATACAAGTGTCTGTTTTTTTTTACCTTGAATTTTTGTTGAGTGCTAAGATATAAATGTTACTATTATGACCTGAAAAAGGGAAAGGAGCCAAAATTTTCATTGACAAATGTGTTGATGACCTGTCTGTGTTGACTGCTTGTCCAATAGCGAAACGGTCATGTGTTTGTGTGTATAGAGGAGAAAAGTGATGTCAATTCTCATTTGTTTAGAAAGAGTGAATTAATGATAATTATAATCATTATAATTATTTTACTATAATTATTTTTTGACACTATAATTAATTTTTATTTATTTATTTTTATGGGAAAGACACAGTGACAGTATAATTCATTTTTATTTATGTATTTCTTTATGGACATGACAACTTGAATTACGACCAAAATAAGGGAATTCAGTTATATAACCAGAGAATTTTGTCAATATATGAACAAAATTTGCAATCAAGAAAATCTTTATTTTATGTTTTCTTTGAACTAGAATCCTCATCTTTGTTATTTTTTTATTTCATCTTATATACCATCCCCATTTTTTTTTTAGATGTAGGTAGCATCTGGTAACTTTCAAAAGAGTTTTAATAAAATTCTCAGTTTCATATACAGATGTAGTGGAGGGCATGTTGTTTTCATTTTTGGCTTTTGTTAGACTTTGCAATCCTTTTTTTAAAAAGTTTAAACTTTTATCTCTTTTCTACTAATCTTTACTCATTAGTGCTACATTGCTACTTTACAGAGCCAACATAGGTCTATACTGCTGAGCCCAGGGACTGAACTCATAATTTGAAAAGGGATTTGAGAACAGAAACCAGAAACTGAAAGATGAGAATGCTGGTCCAAAAAATTAAAAATACTTGTCTAAGAAATTCAGAAAAGAAAATTTTTCTTTAACAATTTAAAATTAACCATCCCCAAAATTATCAAAGACCAAGATCATATTTACCTTTTGGTTGTCCTTATTTGGGTAAGCATGATCAAAAAGAAGAGTAATGTGAGAAAAAAAGCAAGTCATTCAAACGAGGATGGATCAATAAGTTCATAACCTAACACATTGTTATTAGCTAAATGTTGATCTGAAATTTCCACTCTATAATGTTTAATCATATATTCACCACTGAATTAAGTATAACAAGGAAAGCGATTATATTGGAAAATAAATATGTTAAGTAAAATAAAGGTTTTGGCACTACTGATCCACTCATAAAAAAATAGGGTAAAATGTTTTTCTTTTGGGAGTGGAGGTAATTTTGGTAGATTATTGATTGATTTGTGTCTTATGGCTTATCAACCTTTTGCAGATTACTGTAAACCAGAAAACATTTTTTTTTAGATTGTAAGAATTTTTTGGAAATAATGATTCAAGTCCTAATAATTAAACCATAGCAGGGGAGACAAGATGCAAAATAGGTGGATTCATACCTTTACTAAGGGTATTTGTGTGCAAGTGAATGCAACAGACCCAACTGGAATTGAAACTTTCGCTCTTTGATTAACAATTCCATGATGTTATCCATTACACCACCCACACATCCAAGCTTACAGCACACTGATCACTCACCTAGGTATTGACCAGGCTTGACATTGCTTAACTTCGGTGATCATAAGAGAATCAGTGTTTCAGCATGATATGGCCATAAGTTTTTGTAGATTAGCATTCATTAGAACTTCTTCAAGTCATAATATTTGTCGAAATCTAAAAAATAATGATTTTTATCATTTCAGAAGAGGGGTCCTGTTCTTAATATAAATACAGACCAAATCAATCCCTGATTTCATAAAGAGTTAGCTGCATTTTGTTTTTATTTACAAATGTTAAGTTTGAAATTGTGCGTATGTCATTGATAACTGTATTACAGATGTTGTCCCTTTTCTCAATTTGTAAAATAGATATTTATATTATAAATATTACCCCCATTTCTAAAATGATTTTTAAGATTTTTTTGACAAATGCTGTGGCTTGAAGAATGTCTAATGAATGCAAATCTACAAAATTTGTTAAAAATTTCTTGATGTGGATCAGTCAATTTAAGTATTGTCAATGCCTTTTTATCATTAGGCTATGAACTTATTGATGTATTTATGTAGACATACATTTGCATAATTTAACAACAGCAAAGTAAAACCTTTCATTTCAGTTTATTTCATAACCCAATATCAAGTTATTTTACTATCTTTTTATAGAACAGTGGTTCTCAAATGGTGCCACACCCCTCACAGGTGCAGCAGAAGAGGATACAAGTGAGGCAGAATGATTGAAAGACAATCAAAGATTTAGAAACAGTTTAAAAAATTCAAAATGCCAAAAATAAATAGGATTTCAAAATATTATTATGGATTACTTGTAATTGCATGCATGAGTCCCAGTATAAATAGTTATAAATAATTATTGAGCAATTTTATCACTGTCATATTTTTATCTCATATCAAATATTAAGAATACAGTAACTAGGGTCTGCAAAATGGAGAAGAGACTTATAAATGATAATGTTCTGACTTCAAATCCCCAATTATCTCCCTTTAACTTTCTTTCTGTTTTTTTTTTTAAATGTACATTTATCACATGAAATTAGGTGAGGGGGCAAGTAAACTTTAATTCTGGAAATTCAGCCCAGAGAAAAAAATAGTTTGGAAAGCACTGTTATAGAGGAACAGAACTATTAAAAAAATAGTTCCAATTAAAAATGCTAAAATTTACCATAATACCAACTCATAATTAAGCTTATTAATCTTTTAATTAAATAATTATAGCACGACAAGTTAATTACAACATGTTTTTTAATCATTTCACTCCAAGCAAGGCAACAAAGCCACTAACATGCAGAGGGTTACTGAGTGTGAATGAATATAAGAAAAATAAAAACATTATTAAAGAGCAAGAACAGTAAAATTGCTCTTACCCCTTAATGCTTTTATTTTAGAACAGAAATTTAAAAAAACAAGATAATGATTGACATTGCATTTAAATTTTAAAACTTGACTGGACAGCAAAAAACCAGAATAGATCACTGAATATTACTACTACATCTGGTCTGGTGATTCTGTTTTATATCTAGAGATTCTTGACAAAATCCAAAGAAGAATCTGCAATGTTATTAGTCCTGACTTGGCAGCTTGATTCAGTCATTTCCCCACCACTGTAATATATCTACCCTGTACCTTTTCTATAAATATTTTCACAATAATTGTTCTGATGAGCTTTAGTCTTTGGTTTCTAAACTTCACAAATTTAAGTACAGTACTAGATTGGCAACTAGGTCTCATAATTTCACTGTCAAAATTGCTAGTTGTAACCATAAGTTCTATGTTAACAGTTTTTTCTCTCATACCTCTCACTCATGGAAGTCTTTTCTGGCTTGCTGCTTTCCAGTTAACTACACTCTTTAAATGCAATGTCAATAGTCATTTTCTGTCTCTTTGAATCCTGTTCTCTTATTGTCCTCTCTGTTTCTTTCACTTTCAATAACCTCTTGTGTCTTAGTGGATTTTATTTCTTTGGTTTGAATGAAATGATAAAAAAAATTATCAACTTAACCTGCTATAATGTGATGAAAACTATGAATCAATTATCATTGAATAATTCAACTGAAAACCTTTCACCATCTTGTCTATCTACTCGAGAAATAAAAGCATTTTTAAGTAAAAGACCCAAATAAATAATACATACGTTTCATTCCTGCAGACATCTGTGAAGTTCCATCAGCATTATCTACCATTGAAGCTTGAGATGTAGTAGCAGCAGCGGCAGCAGCGGTACCTGGGTATGCTGAAAGGGACAAAAAGAGAAAATTTAAAATATCAACAAGTTGTATAGGATTTTTGCTTAATAGCCTCTCCTTCCATCCATTCATAGAATCATTTGTCAATGTCAACTGGCAGATATTAACATTTAAAAAAAAAAAAAAAACCATCATGAAAAAAATACTATATGATGTGTTTCTTCAGGATGTAGATGATTGTAGTTCTCTATTCACCCCCCCCCATTCACCTGGCAAACTTTTCCTCAAGTTCTAAATTCTTATTAATGTCTTTCACTTTTCTTTATGATTCTACAATGTTGTTAAGAGAATTCTTAACAGTTAAATGAGTTTGTGAAGATTACCTCCACCTTGTCTGCTAAGATATCCACTTGATAGTACTGTTCAAGACTATAAAAAAACAGAACAATAAACCCTCTTCCCCTTTTACTCCAGAATGTAGTAGCAAAAACAACAGGACTTCTCTCCATCAAGAGAGATTTCTTCCTCCAGAAGGCCATCTTCCTAATTTCAGCTAACCAACTAACATCACACAGACATTTTCTAATAGCAAAGCCTTTAAATATTTTTCTCCCTTTTTCAGCTGTGTACAAACAAGTACACTTTCTCTCTTCTTCATATAAAAATATATGTGTAAAGTTTCTCCACACATAAAAATTCATTTACATTATTTACATTATTTGGACTATTGTCCTCATCTTTGTCGCCATATTTATCCCGTTTCAGTCGTTATATGCTCCGGCCTTCTTCAGGTGGTTGGAATTTCGAACTGAACCCTTTATTTCACTCACTTGGCTAGACTGTTCTAGTTCCACATGCCATGTTTGATGGATGTCAGTTATCAGTTATCTCCTTGCTAATTTCCCTCTGAAAGTTCTCCACTGCCTTAACTCGGTATTGAACTCACACTCTTTGGGTCCTGTCACTGGATCTAACAAATGCCTTTATCCACTGTGCCATGTGTCCTCAAGGACACATGGCACAGTGGATAAAGGCATTTGTGATAAATATGGTGACAAAGATGAGGACAATAGTCTGAATAATGTAAATAATGTACAAAATACCTCATCTCAGAAATATAGACAGACCCAAAAATTCATTTCTTTTGAAATGTTCAATTAATTTACTTTGAAAGTTCTTAACCTCATTAGCAACAAGTTGTAACTTCTGCTATAATTGGTAACCAATAGCAGCCTCATCCATTACTACCCTGAAGCCTCACTCCATTACAAGTTCTTGCAACAGATTTTTTATAAAAACAATTACTTAAATAATTAACTATTTTAATTAAGAATTCGAAGATGTCATTGTAATCATTAGGAAAGTTTAATATATAACAACACATCCTACCAATATCTAGCAGATAATTGTGAACTAGTGTCAGGGCCAGTGGAAAGGTCTTGTGGTCCCTTGCCCCGAATCTGTAATATGTGGCCCTCTAGTCTACTACATCTCAATCTTCATAAGGTAATATTTATATAAAATACAAGTTTTATTGTAATCTAATTATGTTCAATAATGGATCATATGCAATACAGGTGAACAATTCAACTAGAAAAATTGAAAATAAATACAATGTATCTAAATACAAATTAGAGACATGTCATAATAGATCTTGCCATCTTAAATAAATCAACAATGTTTTGTGGCAATTTTTAACATTAACTTGGGATTTACCTTGTTAAAAAGTTTAATTTTAACACATTTAACCTTATAAATAAAAGAATAGTGAATTTTATATAGTGATTTTTCAAGACTTAGCATGATAAGATTTGGACAAAAAAAAAAAAAATTCACAGATTTGGACCAAAAATAAAATAAAATTACCCCAGAATAAAAAATTTTCATCCTTTTACTAGTCAGTTGTGTTTAGTTTAATTCATAATGTATATAAATGTAGATAAAAAATGCCAATGTTAATAAGATAGCAAGGGTCACAAAGCACTGCCTGAAGTCCCCAATCAAGCTTGCATCACTCCCGAGTTAGGAGTGGTGGGTAGTATGCACTGGCCCAGACTAGTTTTTGTCTGTAGTAAAATTAATGAAACAGCTGTTAGCTTAAAAATTTCCCTAAAAAAGACACCAGCTGTAAATCAAATGTCCCAGACTGGCAGAATCTTTTTTTATGACATTTCTAAAGCTTAAGAGATTTCTAGTCATGAAAACATTTTATTATGCAGAATAACTAAACTTTTCCCCACCACCATAATGTAGCTTCCCTGTGCCTTTTCTATAAATACTTTCATGGTAATTGTTCTGTTGAACTTTTCACTCTAATAGCTATACTTTATAAATTTAAGCACAGTACGAGATTGGTAAAAAGGTCACATCATTTTACAGTTAAAATGGCTAGATGTACCCGTAAGTTATATGCTAACAATTGCTTCTATTGCACTTCTCACTTGTGGAAATCTCTTCTGACTTCTTGCTTTCCAGTCAACTTTGATTTTCAGAAATTTAAATGCAATGTCAATTATTATCATCTGTCTTTTTAATTCTTTTTCTTTTATTGTTCTCACTCCTTAATAGCAATTTTTATCATATTCTCTAACACTCTATTCAGGGCTTTGCTTGGGATGAAATGATTTAAAAAAAAAAAAAAAAAAAAAAAAAAAAATCAAACCTATAATAAAAATGGGAAGCTATCTTAGAAAATTATGTGTAGCCTAATCAAATATAAATCCTTATAAAAATATTATATAAATTTGTTATATTTTTTCAGCAATTCTTCAGTTTTATTTTTTTTAAACCTTTTTCTAATAATCTTTAATAAATCTGACAAAGCTCTATTGTAGATAATCAAATGACAAAATAGAAAAAAATTCTTACATAACTTGTTTCATTTCAAGAAGGAACTTCTTCAGGCTAATAATGAGTTGATCGATCGAGTCAGTTTTCTACATATAGTGGTGGCTGGGAGGTGATTATATTAAATGCCAGTTATGATTTTACATTTAAAATGCTAAAGATACAGGGACGCATAACTTTAAATTTAAATTTCTGACACCTGGTGTATCTAGGTACTTAACCAGACTTTATTCAGCTATCACTTTTCTTTTTATTACTCTTCTTATATATTAGGTACCACCAAAATGAATTTTTTTCTCCCAAAAAATAAAAAAAAAATAAAAAAAATCACTACCCCCCATTTTAAAATATTTATTCAAACAGAATTTCAATACTGTTCCGTAATGAATGCATTGTATACTGAATAGGCCATTTTATTAGAAAGTTTTGTGTAAATATGGAGGGAGTCCCCCACCCTTTTTCAAAATCTTGGATGTACTTTTTAATAGGTAGGGTCAAATTTTTCCAGTTGGACAAAAAAATCTACACTTAATATTTTTTAAGTTACTTATAATTTTTCAATTTGATTTTGAAATTCATCTTGTTGCTGTCTTTTTATTAAATAAAACATGTTTGAAAAAAATGGCATTTTCTCATGTGGACCTGTTTTAAAAGAATTTTTCTGTTTTTTTTTCTTTTTTTATTTTAGCAACTGTTAGATTATTTTTGGTATGGGTGTTCAAAAAGGAAATAATTCTCTCTGAAGAGTAAGAAGATGATATATAATTTTTTAAATAACTTAAATTCAGAATAATTTAAAAAAAAAAAAAAAAAAAAAACGCATTGGGTAATATGATATTTCATGACATCAAACGGGTATGAAAATACTAAAAAAAGTAAAAAGCAATGTATTAAAAACCCCAAAAAGTATTATTACCTACCGAAAAAAAAAATACTTCTAAATGTAATATAAAAAATAAATGGTAAATTTTCATTTTAACACCCGAGTGTCATTTACTGCTGAACTATTTTCTTTCAGAAATTAGTATGTGTTTCTGTAAAGCGATTTTATTCTATTTTTTTTGTACTTAATTTAGGAATAAAGTTAACTTTCAAATATATGTAAACATCGACAAATAAAAGAATAACAAAAGAAAAAAAAAATAATCCTAATTTGAAAGTTAACTTTCTTCTTAAAAAATTTTTTAAAAAATGAAAGAATAATCAAGAAAAAACAACACCTAACCCTAATTTGAAAAAAAAATTAAAAAAATAAAAGAATAACCCCCCCAAAAACCACCTAACTTGAAAGTTAACTACAAGGAATTACTGTGAAGGAAGTAAATAGGCCTAAATTGTATACGTCCACCAACAAAATTCAGCACTGAATTACTTATCAATAAACCGGTAATGGCTCACGAAAGACCAGGAAAAAGTCCGATTTTTTTCGGGTCGTTAACATCAAAAAAGGTAGGTTTCTTCAATATCTAATAGTTGATTTGAGTTCAGCATATACATTTGCACGGAAATAAGACTATTTTGGAAAAATTTGAAGGGATATTAGCGCTCGGGTGTTAAAATGAAAATTTACCAAATAAATTTATTCATTAAGCTAAGTTTAATAAAATCGTATAGAATAAAAAAGGATTGCATTGTTAGCGTTCCGTATTTCTTTTATTTTTAGTTTTTTTGCATGCTTTAAGTCAAGTGTGTGATTATAAACTTTTAAAAAAAAATCTGACCTATGACCACACAGGCTACGTGCTTAAATGAACGTCATTTTCATAAAGTTTTAAGTAAAAAGTAAACATTACTTTTACAAAATCCAGTTAATTAAATTAATCCTTAAATTTAGTAACTTTGAAACATAGAATATTGGATTTTTGAGAGATTTTTAAATTTGTTGTATACATTTTTTTTTTTTTTTATAATGGCGTTGCAATGAGTGTATCACTGTATGAGTACCATGTCAATGTTTGAAAAATACCTAAAACTTTATATGTGGAAATTAATTTTTCTTTTACTTCGGATTCGTTCCGTTAAGCCATTAAAAAATTCAAAGGTAATTAAACTATTATTTAAAATTATTATGTGTTTTTTAGGAAAGTCTGTAGCACTCAGCACAGCATTAATTTGCGTCAGGAATGGGTATATATTGTATGATCCTGGACGTAAATTTATCGTAGAAGATTTCGAAATTATTGTATTTTAAATACATTTC